CCAAAACTCCAAAATCCAACCAGGATGTCCCCAAAATTCAACCAGGACATCTCCAAACCCCAAATTGTCCAACCAAGATGTCCCCAAATGTCCCCCAGGATAGTCCTAAAGCCCCAGGTGTCCCCACCTCGTAGTAGAGGTCCCCGTGGATGGTCAGCTTGGGCTTGGTCTGCCACTTGAAGAAGGCATCGTGCAGCTTCTGGTAGTCGATGTCGATCTTGCCCATCTTGGGCCGCACCTTCTCCCTCATCTTGGACTTCATGGTCTTCTGCTCCTCCTGGGGACACGGCAGGGGACAGTGGGGACACGCCCCGGGGCCGTGGGGACACGGGGGTGGCCCCAGGGAGCCTCGGGGGCAGCTACGGCAGCCACCAGGACACACAGGTGTGACCACGATGGCCACAAGGTCCCAAAATCCAACCAGGAGGTCCCCAGGCCTCCAAAACTCCAACCAGGATGTCCCCAAAGTCACAAAACCCAACCAGGAGGTTCCAAAATCCAACCAGGATGTCCCCAAAGTCACAAAACCCAACTAGGATGTCCCAAAACCCATCCAGGATGTCCCCAAATCCAACCAGGATGCCTCCAACCCTCCAAAATCCAACCAGGATGTCCCCGAAGTCACAAAACCCAACCTGGATGCCCCAAAATCCAACCAGGATGCCCCAAAATCCAACCAGGATGTCCCCAAAGTCACAAAACCCAACCTGGATGACCCCAAATCCAACCAGGATGTCCCCAAAGTCACAAAACCCAACCTGGATGTCCCCAAATCCAACCAGGATGCCCCAAAATCCAACCAGGATGCCTCCAACCCTCCAAAATCCAACCAGGATGTCCCCGAAGTCACAAAACCCAACCTGGATGTCCCAAAACCCAACCAGGATGTCCTCGAAGTCACAAAACCCAACCTGGATGTCCCAAAATCCATCCAGGATGTTCCCGCATCTAACCAGGATGTCCCCAAAATCATAAAATCCAATGAGGATGTCCCAAAATCCAACCAGGATGCCCCCAAAGTCACAAAACCCAACTAGAATGTCCCAAAATCCAACCAGGATGCCTCCAAACCTCCAAAACTCCAACCAGGATGTCCCCAAACCTCCAAAATCCTCCCATCCCATGGCTGCCCCACAGCTGCCCTCAGGCATTCCTGGAGGTGTCTCCAGGTTGTCCCCGAGGTGTCCCCACCTTCTCCTGCAGGGCCTCCTGCATCTCCTGGATGCTGGTGACCACCAAGAACCTCCCCAGACCCCTTCCATGCTCCTCTCCCACCCCCTGGCTGCCCCACAGCCGCCCCTCAGGCATTCCCCGAGATGTCCCCAATGTGTCCCCGAGGTGTCCCCACCTTCTCCTGCAGGGCCTCCTGCATCTCCTGGATGCCACAACCTTCCCAAACCCCCAAGACCTTTCCCCAAACCCCCTCCCACCCTCACAGCCACCCCTCAGGCATTCCTGGAAGTGTCCCCAAGGTGTCCCCAAGGTGTCCCCACCTTCTCCTGCAGGGCCTCGCACATCTCCTGGATGCTGGTGACCACCAAGCACCTCCCCAAACCCCCTCCCACCCTCACAGCCACCCCTCAGGCATTCCTGGAGGTGTCTCCAGGTTGTCCCTGAGGTGTCCCCACCTTCTCCTGCAGGGCCTCGTGAATCTCCTGGATGCTGGTGACCACCAAGAACCTCTCCAAACCTCTGATACCCCTTCCCAAACCCCTTCCCACCCTCACAGCTGCCCCTCAGGCATTCCTGGAAGTGTCCCCAAAGTGTCCCCAGGTTGTCCCCAAGGTGTCCCCACCTTCTCCTGCAGCGCCTTCTGCATCTCCTGGATGCCACAACCTTCCCAAACCCCCAAGACCTTTCCCCAAACCCCCTCCCACCCTCACAGCCACCCCTCAGGCATTCCTGGAGGTGTCCCCAAGGTGTCCCCGAGGTGTCCCCACCTTCTCCTGCAGGGCCTCGCGCATCTCCTGGATGCTGGTGACCACCAAGCACCTGTCCAAACCTCTGATACCCCTTCCCAAACCCCTTCCCACCCTCACAGCCGCCCCTCAGGCATTCCTGGAAGTGTCCCCAAGGTGTCCCCAAGGTGTCCCCGAGGTGTCCCCACCTTCTCCTGCAGGGCCTCGCGCATCTCCTGGATGCTGGTGACCACCAAGCACCTCCCCAAACCCCCTCCCACTGTTACAGCCGCCCCTCAGGCATTCCTGGAGGTGTCTCCAGGTTGTCCCCAAGGTGTCCCCGAGGTGTCCCCACCTTCTCCTGCAGGGCCTCGTGCATCTCCTGGATGCTGGTGACCACCAAGCACCTCCCCAAACCCCCTCCCACCCTCACAGCCGCCCCTCAGGCATTCCTGGAGGTGTCTCCAGGTTGTCCCCGAGGTGTCCCCACCTTCTCCTGCAGGGCCTCCTGCATCTCCTGGATGCCACAACCTTCCCAAACCCCCAAGACCTTTCCCCAGACCCCCTCCCACCCTCACAGCCACCCCTCAGGCATTCCTGGAAGTGTCCCCAAAGTGTCCCCGAGGTGTCCCCGAGGTGTCCCCACCTTCTCCTGCAGGGCCTCGCGCATCTCCTGGATGCCGGTGCGCTTGATGAACTCGGGCAGCTCGAAGGGCGGCTTCTCGATGCCCCTCTTGCCCTGCAGGTATTTCCTCTTGAAGCACCAGTGCCGCGGCACCGGCACCGAGTTCCGCGTGGCCTTCAGGTGCACCAGCAGCTTGGGGTCCTGCGCCGTCACGTCGTGCATCTCCACCACGTCCGGGCGGGCCACCAGCTGTGGGGACAGCAAAGGGACGTCAGGGGGTGGCAGAGGGGAGTCAGAGTGGTGGAACCCCAGGGTGGCTCTGTGGGACCCCAAGTGATCTCTGGGTGATCATCCAAGTGACCTCTGGGTGGTCACACTGTCCATCTCCACCACGTCAGGGTGGGACACAAGATGTGGGGACACTGAGGACAGCAAAGGGACATCTGGGGACAGAGGGGAGTCAGAGTGGTGGAACACCAGGGTGGCTCTGTGTGACCCCAAGTGACCTCTGGGTGACCATCCAAGTGACCTCTGGGTGGTCACGTTGTCCATCTCCACCATGTCAGGGTGTGCCACCAGCTGTGGGGACAGTCGGGGACAGCAGGAGATGGCAGGGGACAGCAAAGGGACATCAAGGGACAAAGGAAAGTGAGGGAATGAGAGGGCCAGAATGGTGCTGGGGACATCAAAGTGACCCCAGGTGGAGACATGGGACCCCATGGTGGCACTGGTGGGGTGACAAGGAGAAGATTGAGGTCCCAAGTTGACCCCTGGGTGGGCAACTGGGACCAGTGTCCCCAGAAAGGTGACAAGGGGCGCATTGCAGCGCCCAGGGTGGCTCTGGTGTCCCCACCGGGGTTCCTGAGGTGTCACCTCAGGGCTGTCCCCAGCTCCAAGCGCCACCCACACCCACGGGGGAGGGGACAGGGACCGTGTCCCCAAGTGTCACCTGCTTCAGCTCGGCCACCGTGAACCTGTTCATGCGCCGCAGCTTCTTCTTGGACAGCTTGGGGACCTCCTGCTTCTTCTCCTGGGGACACGTGGGGACAGCGTAAGTGACACTGGGAGGGACGCCCCGGGTGGCACCGGATGACGCCACCCGCTGTCCCCACCCCTGAGCCATCCCTGTCCCCTCTGTCCCACCCAGGGCCACCTCAGCTCCTTCCCAGTCCCTGCTGTCACCACCCCCAGTGTCCCCAAACACCCCCGTGGTGTCCCCAGCTCAGTACCACCTCCAGGTGCCACCCCCTGCCACCCTCAATGTCCCCAGTGCCACCTACTCACCCATCACTGCCCCTGTACCCGTGTCCCCAGTGCCACCTGCTCGTCCTTGGAGCTGTCCCCATCACTGCCCCTGTCCCCCAATGTCCCCACGTCCTCAATGTCCCCAGTGTCCCCAT